TGTGGCACCACCGTCTTGGCCACCCCTCCTTGCCCCGTCTTCGGAGCATGGCTTCCCGTGTCCTTGTCTCTGGTCTTCCCCAGTCTCTCCCTCCTCTCCCCTCCGGGCCAGGACCTTCCTGTGTCCCCTGTGTCGAGGGTCGCCTCCGGGCTACTCCTCACTCCTCCCACTTCCCCCCGACAGAGGCTCCCCTGCAGACGCTTCACATGGATGTGTGGGGCCCAGCCCCCGTCCGTGGGCAGGGTTACGAGCGCTACTTCCTGTTGGTGGTTGACGACTACTCGCGTTACACCACAGTCCTCCCCTTGCGCAGCAAGGGTGCGGTCACTGAGGTGCTGATCGACTGGATCCGCGAGGCTCGTCTCCAGCTCAGGAAGAGCTTCGGCTCGGACTTTCCTGTTCTGCGTCTGCACTCTGACAGAGGCGGAGAGTTCTCTTCTAGCCTTCTGCGAGACTACTGTCGTGCACGGGGGATCCGCCAGACCTTCACGCTTCCGGACTCACCACAGCAAAATGGGATTGCTGAGCGCCGCATTGGCATGGTCATGGATGTTGCTCGTACGTCCATGATGCATGCGGCTGCCCCCCATTTTCTGTGGCCGTTTGCTGTGAGGTACGCGGCGCATCAGCTCAACCTTCACCCCCGGGTCTCTCGGCCTGCGATGTCCCCAGTCTTGCTGTGGACAGGGAAGGTTGGCGATGCGTCTGTGTTCCGTGTCTGGGGATCTCGGGCGTTTGTCCGCGACTTGTCTGCGGACAAGCTGTCCCCCCGTGCTGCTCCCTGTGTCTTCCTTGGCTTCCCCACTGACGCCCCAGGGTGGCAGTTTTACCACCCCTCCTCTCGTCGTGTTCTGTCCTCCCAGGACGTCACGTTCGACGAGTCAGTCCCCTTCTACCGTCTCTTCCCTCCCCCCTCCCCCGGACTTCCTTGTGCCGGTTCCCCCCCCGGTCGACCCCCTCCCCCCTCAGGTTCCTGCCCCCTCAGGTGTGTCCCAGGTAGACGCCGTTGACCCGGTCGAGGTTACTGGTGACTCTGGTGCTGCTGCAGGTGCTGAGCCTGGGGGTGCTGACTCTGGGGGTGCTGACCCTGAGGGTGCGGGGCCTGGGGGTGCTACTGCTGGGGGTGCTGGGCCTGGGGGTGCTACTGCGGTGGGTGCGGAGCCTGGGGGTACTGAGCCGGGGGGTGCTGTGCCTGGAGGTGCTGAGTCTGGGGGTGCTGAGTCGGGAGCTGCTGAGCCTGAGGGTACTGAGCTGGGAGCTGCTGAGCCTGGGGGTGCTGCGCCTAGAGTTGCTGAGCCTGGGGTTTCTCCTGCTGCTGCGTCTCGCCGGGAGCCCCTCTCTCCACCGGAGCTGCGCGAGTGGTTCGCTCGCCGCTGGAGGCGTGCTGCTGAGTCTGGAGGTGCTGCTGGAGCTGGAGCTGGAGCTTCTTCGACCGTCGAGGGTGCGGGTGCTGCCGGTCCCGGAGCTGCTGGACCTACTGGTCCTCCTGGAGCTGGAGCTGCTGAGGGCGTTGGTGCTGAGCCTGCTGCTGTTGGACCTGCCGCTGGAGGTGTGGGTGGCGCTGGTGCTGTCGCTGAGGGTGCTGGTGCTGTCCCTGCTGAGTCTGGAGCTGCCGCGTGGCCTCGGCCGTACTTCGTTCCGCTCCTGCAGCAGGTTCTTGGTCTTTCTCCTCCAGTAGAGGGTCCACCGCCTGTCCAGTCGCAGTCCCTACTGGAGCCTTCCTCTCCGCTGCCTGCTCCCTCTCCTTACACTGGTCCTACTGGAGGTCTTGCTGAGCGTCGTGAGCCTGCGTCTCGTCCCGCGTCGCCTGTTCGTGCTGCTCGCGCTAGTGGTCGCAGTTCGCGTCAGCGCCCTCCTCCTGTCCCTGGCACGCACCGGATGTCTCTGCGTCCGTCCACTGCTCCTCTGCGTGCCCCTTTGCCTTCTCCTCCTGAGTCCTCTCTTCCTGCGCTTGCCGACCCTGAGTCGGACTCTCTTCGCGCTGCCAGTCCTACTGTCACGCGTCTGCTTGCTACTGTCGTCACTGACCCCTCGTTTGAGTCCACTGCTGCGTCTGCTCTTGTCGCTGAGCTCGTTGACTTTGCTGCTCGCTGTCGTCTCGACTACGCTGCTAGTCTTGTTGCTGAGTCTGTGTCTGGCTGTCCTCCGTCCGTCGGGGGTGAGTGTGCTCTTGGCACGGACGTCCTAGAGGACAGGCAGGAGGAGTTACAGTGTCTAGCGGCTGCTTCACCTCATCTCGCGTCTGTACTGCTTGCCCCTGAGGGAGACCCGGATGCACTAGACATCCCGACTCCGCGTTCTTACGCGGAGGCCGTAGAGGGTCCCTACTCCTCTCAGTGGCAGGCAGCTATGGATGCAGAGATGGCTTCCTGGAAGTCCACAGGCACCTACGTTGACGCAGTTCCCCCTCCTGGGGCGAACATCGTCAGTGGCATGTGGATCTTCAGGGTGAAGCGACCGCCGGGCTCTCCACCTGTCTTCAAGGCACGGTACGTTGCTCGTGGCTTCAGTCAGCGGCAGGGAGTTGACTACTTTCAGACCTTCTCTCCCACCCCGAAGATGACCACTCTTCGGGTGCTGCTGCACATAGCCGCTCAGCGCGACTACGAGCTTCACTCTCTCGACTTCAGCACTGCGTTCCTGCAGGGTAGCCTGCACGAGGAGATCTGGCTGCGCCGTCCGCCTGGCTTCACTGGGACTTTCCCTCCTGGCACCCAGTGGAGCCTCCGACGGCCAGTCTACGGTCTCCGCCAGGCACCGCGTGAGTGGCACGACACACTGAGGACTACGCTTGCGGCTCTTGGGTTTGCTCCTTCTACTGCTGACCCGTCGCTGTTTCTTCGCACCGACGCTTCCCTGCCGCCGTTCTACATCCTCGTGTACGTCGACGACTTGGTCTTTGCCACAGCGGACACTGCTGGACTCGCCTACGTGAAGTCCGAGCTGCTGAAGAGACACACGTGCACAGACCTGGGTGAACTGCGCAGCTACCTTGGCTTGCAGATCACTCGGGACAGAGCACGCCGCACCATCACCTTGACTCAGTCACACATGGTGCAGCAGGTCCTTCAGCGCTTTGGCTTCACGTACTCCTCGCCTCAGGCCACTCCTCTGCCTACTCGCCACTCACTCTCAGCTCTGCCTTCGGATGAGTCCGTAGAGTCGAGTGGTCCGTATGCAGAGCTTGTTGGCTGCCTCATGTACCTGATGACCTGCACACGACCCGACCTCGCATACCCTCTTAGCATCCTTGCACGCTATGTTGCTCCTGGGAGACACCGACCAGAGCACATGGCTGCAGCGAAGAGGGTATTGCGCTACCTGTGCAGTACGTCAGGCATGGGGCTAGTGCTTGGAGGGCGCAGTCCAGTGGTCCTTACAGGCCACGCGGACGCTTCTTGGGCTGACGACCAGGCTACGCAGCGGTCGTCACAGGGTTACACCTTCAGCCTTGGTTCCGGCTCTGTCTCGTGGCGGTCTACTCGCTCGTCTTCGGTTCTCGGCTCCAGTTGTGAGGCTGAGATCTACGCCGGGGCCATGGCTGCACAGGAGCTTCGCTGGCTCACCTACCTGCTGACTGACCTTGGAGAGCCGCCTCGTTCTCCTCCAGTGCTGTACGTAGACAACAAGGCCATGCTGGCCTTGTGTCGAGAGCAGCGCTTGGAGCACAGAACGAAGCACATTGCTCTCCGCTACTTCCTTGCTCGTGAGCTGCAGCAGCGTGGTCAGTTGCGACTTGCGTACGTGGCCTCTGAGGCCAACACTGCTGATGTGTTCACCAAGGCACTGGCGCCTTGTGACCATCAGCGCTTTTGTACCCAGCTGGGTCTTGTGCCTGTCTTGCCTCACTTGCTCTCTTCTTGACTTTACTTGTACTGTGACATATATATACCTGCTCTTGCTTGTCTTGCTTTATATATATGTCTGTACTCTTGCATGTGAACTGGCCTTTGGCCTTGCTCTTGTGCTCGGACTGTGTGGTGACTTTGTGATCCACCCCGAGCTTGCTTTGCTTTGCTTGACTGGTCTTGTGACCTCTTGTTCTCCCCCACTTTGCCTATGGGGGTGTGTCAGAACATATAGCTTACCTGTTTGTGTAGGCTACAGTGGGGTATCCCATAAGGGGTACAACACAATTAGGTTTCCTATTTGTACTCATTCTTGACTTAGTCAATCCATTCCTCTTCTCACTGTTTCACAGGTTTTGCTTGACACCCCTCACTTAGGCTATGGGGGTGTGTCAAATGTTGTAGCCTTTAGTGAGGTTTGTCTTAGGGGGTACAGATTTTAGGGTTTGTTACCGTATATGTACCCCAACCCACATCAATGAACCAACACTTTCATTCTTGATAGTTCTATATGCGGTTGTCACGTTTCTTATTTCGGGGCCCGAAATTTCGGGAGTGGCATTTCGCCCAAACCTCTTCGGGGGGTTCCAGCCCCGCTTCCCGATGCAGTGGCCATTCTGATGCCGTCATTTTTTTTTTCCAAGTTTGCATGTGCTGGCGAACACCGCCATCGTTCTACACAGTTTGTAGAATACCTTGGCAAGCGTAGCATTACGTCAGTCCTTGTTCAAAAGTGTTCCACCTTTAATCTACAATCTCACCAAGTACTTTATCCTTACGTAGTCGAAGTCTCAATTTCGGTTGCCCAATATGGATCCCATCACCCATTGTGGATGATGACAATGTCAACAAGCCATCAATTATGGGGCCTACAGTCGGCCATTGCAGGAGAGCTTTGATCGATATAAGCACATGATATCATACTGCCTGTTACCAATCTGAATTTTCTGCTCCTACCAATGTTACTGGCAGTCACATACCGTACGATTCAGAGTGCCTATTCTCGTCCACTGCTACCTACATCTCATCTCAGCCCATATACACACCGCTGCTGCTGCTGCTCCTGCTGCTGCTGCTACACAGCACTGTACTAGCCTCTACAATCCAATTCCTTCACTTCCAGCCACCACCCACCACCTTCCCCCTCTGCCTCTACCCCCTATGCACCATCCGTCCGTATGCCCTCTTGAGAAAAAGATCTCCACCATCCATCTCCACACACTCGCCCTTCGATATTGTCATCCTTCCTTTTAAGAACTCCTCCAGCTCAGCGGCCCTTTCAGGTGCCTTACTCTCGCCCATCCTTCGTTTTAAGAACATCTGCATGTCAAACTCTCTCCTGCAAGACGACTCTAGGCTGAGACTTCGTTCGAAAAACGCTTCTAGCTCATGTGCCTTCGATCCCGGGGGAGACGACGACTGCGGCACTTGCAGGGCAGCAGAGAGCGGGCCAGCGGCGGCGGAGGGCGGCAGTTTGTGAGGCGCCTCTAGAAACGCCTCCAGCTCACGCGCCCTTGATCCTGGGGGGGATGATGACTGTGGCAGTTGCAGCACAGCAGAAAGCTGGGCAGTGGGCGGCAGTCGAAGGGTGGACTGCAGTGTCCCAAAGGGGTTGCTTATGGCAGGGGCGATGAGAGGAGCAGAGCAGGAGCGAGCCAGCAAGGAGGGGCCTTCGGGGAGGGTGCAACTGGAGCAGGGCATACTGAGGGAGGTGGAACTGGAAAAGGCATTACTAACAGCAGGAGAAGTTGGGACCGCAGGGAAACTTATTGGGTGAAAAATCCGGGAAAGAGGAAAATTGGGTGCTGAGTTGCTAGATGATAGGTTGTTGTGAAGGTGGGAGTGGGAGAATGGGTGACTGGGGAGGGGGTGACTGGGGAGGGGGTGACTGGGGAGGGGGTGACTGGGGAGGGGGTGACTGGGGAGGGGGTGACTGGGGAGGGGGTGACTGGGGTGGAATTGGCTCAGAATGGGGCTACTAGGGGAGAAATCATCGGGGGTTTGAGGGGAAATGGGACGATTAGTGGGTGGAAGGTTGGGCGAACGAAGGACAGAAGGGTAAGGAGGGGGCAGGCTTAGGCCCTGGGGTGGGGCGGCAGCAGGGAGAAGGGATGCGGCGGAGGAGGCAAATGGGGCAGTCAGGTTCGAAGAGTGAAGGGGGAAGGGGCCAGGGAAGGGAGCGGGGAAAGGACAGGAAAAAGGAGGGGATCTGGGCGTGGGGAAGGGAGCGGGGAAAGGAGCGGGGAAAGGAGAGGAGAAGGGCGGAAATCTTCGTGAGTAGGGCGGGTGGTAAGCAGGGGGGACTTGAGAGAAATCCGACTGGTGGATGCTCTCTTTACCACCATGGTCGGGATTACGCACACTGAACAAGCCCGTCCCCTGATCAGCCCGGCCGTTGGAAGCAACGGAAGCATCAAGCTGGGCTGCTTCAGCTGAACCGAGAACACCAGAGGCCGTAGCGAACCCAGGAGCACTGGAGGCCGTAGCGAACCCAGGAGGAGCAGCAGCGGCTGTAGCGACCTCAGGAACACCGCAGGCTGTAACGAATCCAGAGGAACTGGGCACTGCAGCAAAGCCCACTCGACTCTCCGGGAGCCTTTCCCAAGGGCCGCACGCACAATCAGACACGCCCGCCCTTGCGCACGCAAATCCCCATGGGTTTGTGACTGTATCGAAACCATTTCCCGTGACCGTACACCTTGTGACATCCCCGTGTGTGACTGTATCGGGGGCACTGCTAGGGAAATTCTCGAAGGAACTCCCTAGGGGGTTGCTGGCGGAAAGGCTTCGAGAGAGGCAGGACGGACCAATCGGGTCGCTGCTGCTTCTACGGGACTCTCGCTTGCGCTTTGGAGTCAGCCGGTCCGGTCCTGGGACTCCGCCGAGGCTCGGCCTCGGCTTCGGGTTGGCGCTCGGGTTTTGCCGCATCTGCTGCTGCTGCTGATTCGTCGGCGTCTCGATCGGTGCTCCCGGAATCAGATCGAGGCTGCCGCTGCTGGACCATCTGTACCGCATAGCACCGCTCTTAACTCGAACAGGTCTGCCGCTGAGGCTGCTGGAAGAAGGAGCAGTGGCAAGAGCAGCAGCAGGTGTGACATTAGCAGGAGTGACAGCAGTGGGTGTGACAGCAGCGATCATCTCAAAGGGATGCTGTTGCTGTTGCTTTGATGACGCTGACGCACCGACGCTTGCAATCGCCGCGTGCTTTTGAGTAGTCTCAAAACTCGTTGCCACTGAATCCTGCATAGCAGTCACGGCGAAGGGTTGATAATGATGATGTTGCTGTGTGTCCGAGTCGGTCTGAGCCCTTGATGGCGCAGCACCGGTTTTGATCGCTGTCGGAACCACGCTCTGCTGACAGAATTTATCAAGAGGCGTCGCGGTTCGGGCTTTGGCAGGGCGGCGCGGCGATTTAGGGTTGTCGCCAATCAGCTGCCAGCCGCTTGGAGGAGCGGCGTCGGGATCCTGCCACGTGGCAGTGCGGTAATCGCCGTCCATTGCTGCCAGCTCAGCCCACAACGACTCCGTCAATGCAGCCAGATCGGAAGTTACCAGTGGCTGCGACACGTCAGCAGAATACGCGGCGCCGGAGGCGGCATTGGCGGCGACTGGAGGCGAAGCAACGGTCTTAGTAGCGCCATTGGGGACGACGAATATACCATCGCCATTCGCGAAAACGTTGGCGAAATTAGGCGAAACCACAGCTCCGTGTGCGACGAGAGGTAGCCTGAGGTTGTGGACGCTCCACCCGTGCGACAGCATCGCCAACTCGCTGTCGCAGCCGTCGCAGAGATGCCGGCCATCAACGCCGTGATCGCAGCACTCCATTCAAAGTTCCAATTTTGGAGAGAGAGAGAGAGAGAGAAAAAAAAAGTTAACTCCCCCGGGATCGGCGGACGGAATAAACGCCGCCGCGTCGGGGAAGAGGAGCGTAATTTAACGATCTGATTGAACGTCTGCGGCCAGCGCCGTTGGCTGAAGGTGATTTAAGCGCGGTACAAAAAGGAATATCGATCAATTGCACTGCAATAACCACTTATCACTGCGAAACATGAGGGGTGCTTTAAAGCTTGTCGCGGCGCCTCGTAATTGTCTGCGTCTAAAATATTCTAAAGATAATCGTCAGCGGAAACTGGCTTACAGACTTGTACGGCCGTACAATATAACACCGAGCTACCACACCCACGACTCATCTAGACTCTGCTCATCAGCGCAGCTCAGTGCGGATCGAAGGCTACGAGGAGGATGTACCTCTCGCGAGCACCATGGCACACTACGACTGTATGAGTACAACTGACTGTGTCAGCCTGCACGTCATCCAAGTCACTTGGAGCGCACTGCTCACGGCCACGAGTAACCTCCATGGGACTATTAATACTTCTACTATTACTATTAGGGCGTATCCAGCTTCGGGTCATCAGCACTGTTCATTCAACTGTTCGGGGCATCCTCAAATCACGGATGCCCCGAACTCAACACCAGAACCGCGCACGGCTCGAACTTTGGGTCATCCTGCAACCTGCATGCGACCGTCACGCCCAATGTGTCCCCCACCAATCACACACAAGTGCGACCCCATGTTGGGTCCCCCTCTTTTGACGGACGTCCTTCATCATTCACGCCCGTCAATTTCACCAACACCATCACTGCGTATAGCACAATTCTGTAAAAGCCACTTGACCATGAATACAGATACAAGCCAAATGTGCAGAGCCAGTTGAAAATACGGCCCGACAGCCATATCTACAAGCACAAGCTTGACCATAGCTAGCCGCCTTGCAACCAGTGCGACTCCCAACGCGCCCCGCATTATGCACGGTCGTGAACCAGCTCCCGTTGATAGGATGAGCTACCACTTTACGCCTCATGGGAGTCCTTAAACCATGCTCACAGGTCAGGTCCTCATACTTTGTGTGGGGTGGGGTGATGGGGTGTTAGTCGCGCAACCGGGTGAAAGGGATCGCATGGCTTGAAGGCGGGAGGGCCTATTGGTTGAAGCAACATTTGGCGATGCCTTTTTTGGCGGGACAACAAACGCGCCTTTTTGAGGGTCGCACTATGTTAGATGACCCAAAGTGGTGTTTTGTGTAGTTCGGGGCTTCCGCACATTGCGGATGCCCGGAACAGTGCTGATGACCCGAACCTGGATACGCCCTTACTAATACTGTAGATACTATTTTCAAGAGGAAAGTTCGTTCCTTCCGACTTCACATCGCGCTCGCAACGCCAAAAACAACCGCTGGGCTCGGGCCTCTGCCAGATCGTCGCAGCGGCATGGTTGTACCCGGCTCTCTGTAAGAGGGTGAATAACGATGACGCGGCGTGACGCGATTGGGGGACGGACAAAAATATATGTCTACACTGGGGATATCGATTCGATGACCATGACTTGCGGAGGGAGCAGCAAGTGGAGACGGGGTAAGTTGAGAGGAGAACGAGTAGGACAGCCGAGGAAGTCAGGGCTGACCTCCTTGTTCGGCGCGAATAAAAAACGTCGTGGAGTGGTAATTTCTGAGGAACTGGGAAGGATGGATGGAATCGGAAGGCCGAAAGAGGAGATAGTTTGAGAACCATTCAGATTCAGGAATGGGTAGAGATAATCAACGGCTGATTAACCCAATGACAATGAAGTTTATTACATATCTCGACCCTACCCAATCGTTCTGAGAAAAACCATGCCGCTCTGACACGCAGAACATCCCACTCCACCGTGTCATACTCTTCTTGCCCTTCTCAAAACCGTTATATGGTATGTTCAATCACTTGAAGAACATGATAGGAAAATGCGCTGAAAATGTTACAGAGAGGCGAGGTGAAGGTGAATGGAATTACTATGGGAAGTAGGCAAATTGCCGACGGGTCCATCTTATTGGGATCGTGGGACCACACGACGCGACAAGTGGCAAGGAAGCAACTGGCGAATGACTCTCTCCAGCTGACCTCCCTGACATTATTTTCCACCAGTCATCGTGCACAGCCATGCCAGCGCATACAATCCGCTGCCTCCGATACGCGCGCCTTTCAGCCCCCCTCCCTCCTTCCATTGAACCTAGACCACTGTAGGGTGCACTGTACAACAAGGGGCACTTGAAATATCCTGACTTTTGACACTGGGCTGCGGCCAGGTGCGTTGTCGCTTATGCACCCTTGGCACAACTACAAGTGGCAAATGTGGAATCCGACGAATGAGAAACGGCTCCACGTGACAGCTCCACCTCCAGCGCATAGATGTTAACCAAACCAAAGGCCGTTATGATGATGTGGCAGTGCGCTCTGTCAACCACCGCGATCCCGACAAACCGCACACGTTGCAAACATGACTGGTAAGTCTGACTCGAAATACAGTGACTCTTCGTGTGACTTCCACTGACAGCATGTTTCTCAATGTACATGTTTACACACTCTATGCTTTGCAGTAGTCCATTATTGAGATTTTTACACCTGCAATCAGAACCCATCTAGACTATCTTTTTTTTTCATAATATATGGGATTTATGAACATGCTGGGCGCAGCTTGGGTGGGAGATAGAGGGAGAAACGTGTTGTAAGGTGAAGAGTTGTTGTGAGATTTAGCTCATGAGCAGGGCTCTTGCTAACTTTTAGGCCCGTCTAACGTTTTCCTTAAAAAAAAAAAAAAACAACAACAACAGCAAATTGTCTGGCCCTCATATGGGGGATTCCTGGTGGTCTTTGCCTCAGACGGATTTTATAAGATAGTATGCCGGCTCAAGCGGATTTACACGAAATCAGACATTTATTTAACTAGTCTACACAGTGTTGGGAACAAATAGCCTTAAGCGCTTATGTCGTGTCGAAACTTCAAGACACAAGCGAAGCAGCGCAAATCGAAGCACCAGCGAGTCAACCCTCGGAGTTGATGTAACCGCTGGAGGTTACGAGAAAGTCAAAGGTCAGCGACCTTTGACTTGACAAATGCAGCGCGACAGCAAGGACACACAACTGACTCGACATTGAGCAGTTGCCCGAGTCGCACTATATCGAACCGCAACAGTAAAGAAGTTACAATTATATCTCTTCATATTCTCTGTACTCATATATATATTCTTGTATCTCTTTGTTTTAATCAACTTACTTTGCCCTCACATACTAGCGCAAGGTGGTTCAAGGACTTTATTAAAACGCTTCTGGTACTACATCATTTACTCAGACTTTAACTCTACTAAAGATCCTAGGGCGTTCAGCCCAACATGGTATGAGAGCAGGTTAGAGTTAATATTTTCTCTTCAACACTTAATACATCAAGAAGACATGTCTACTAGAAAGGAGAGCAGCTCCTCCAACGGCTCTCCCGGTACTACCCCTACTCCACCTCCTGCCTCTGGCCTACTGACAGAGGAAAGGACAACAACTAGACCAGCAGCTGGGTCTACGGAAACACCCGCAAACCAAGGCGCGGGCTTCGATCCAAGTATGATGGAGAAATTCTTCTCCTTCATGTCCTTCTACGAGCAGCATCAGCAAGGAGTACCTGCGCAATCAAACAACAGCAACAACAACAACAACGTGACGCCCATGAGTCTCGATGGCTCATCCTACGCACGCGGGAATCAACATCAACAACCTACCTTCGCTCCGTACGAGCTTCAGCGCGGCTCCGTCAGCTTCATGCCGCAACCACAACCTGCACCGGGACAAGAAAGAGCACTGGACGCACTACAAGTTCAGTCGCAATTCGCGCATGTTCTGAAACTACAAACGACAAAACCTTTCGACGGGAAGGATTTCTTTACCTGGTCGTTCGAATTCGAGCTGATGATGGAAGGAGCGCAGATCCTTGGCTTCTTCGACGGGTCCCTGCCATATCCAACAAACGGCACGCAGTATGAGAAGTAGCAGTACACCTATCAATCGATGATGGCGTACACAATACTACTGAGGAACATCACCCCGACTCAACAGCAGAACATAAGGACTTACCGAGGTTACGGTAACTCCGCGGAGCTCGCGTACAACCACTTGAAAAACCTGTATCAAGCAACAGACAGCGTAAACCAAGGCCGGTTAATGGCACAGCTGACAACAATCGAAATGAAACCAGGCGAGAAGGGCATGGCATATATCAATCGCTGCCGCGAACTGCGCGACAAGCTTCTTCGATGTGGAGGATCGATTTCAGAAGACGCCTTCGCCACGGTTGTCATCGGCGGTCTTGGCCCTCACTGGCGCTCCACTCGCGCCATACTACGAGCACACTGGAGAATCTCTGAAGCAGCACTCTGCGCCGAAATCCATGCCGAGCAGCAGGACATGGACCTGCAAGAAGAACGACATAAGAAGAAAACGTCAGTACCAGAGTTCGCGTTTCACACCCAGCGACGCTACAACAATAACAACAATCGGCAGCAACAACAATTGAAGCCAGTACCTCCGTTTTGCCACATCTGCAAGACTTCAGGGCATCCTCGTACGCACTGCCCGCATCGTCAGCAATCGACAACATCACAGCGACAACTTCGGCCTTCAAGCTCCCAAGTCACTTCAACGCAAGTAAATCTCACGACAAAGATTCAAGCCTCAACGACTCCAACAGGACAACCTGCACAAGTAGCAAGAAACATCGTCAACTGCATGGCAAAGACAACAGATTCCTGCATCACCGAATCACCGCCGCACTACTCACCAGAAGAACGACTTGACGAAACCACACCTCGACGCGAGTCACTTCAGCCAAACCCGACATACACCGCCATCGCTCAAAGCGAGCCATCCGGAAGAGACACTTGGTTCTTGGACAGTTGCTGCGGACAACACATGTGCTCCTCAGGACGTTTCGTTCAACGCGAGCACCGACTTTAACGAGAAGACGT